GATTTGGTGGTGAAATCTGTTTCTCTAATGATTTTCAAAGAATATGCAGGCAAACTTATTCCTTCTTTTTGAATGATCTGCAAAAAGATGTGTTCTTTCTATGTGACGTCATCAGGCATGGTCGCCTTTTTTCATGCCGTCACAATAGGAAATTCAGAGGAAAGCAAGAAAATTCGACGTCATAATCGGATTTTATCCAATGAAGAACTGAGATCAAACGAATCACACGTTGATTAAATTTTTTTTATACAATGGGTGCAGAAAGGGATAAATTGACGAAGAATTAGAGAAAACGTGATAATGAGGATGATATTTCTGCAAATAACATCAACAAAGACACCGATATATGTTACTGTTTATACAGGAAAGACAGAATTATACTTTCTTGGATACAATGTGTTTGAAATATTTTTTATCATAATCTATATATTCAAATTTGAAAGGTATCCTGAAGAGAACAACACATTAAAAGATATTCATGGATCCCGCATCATGATGATCAAAACGAATACAATGTAACTATTTAACTTCTTAGATCTTTAAAAACAGGAAGAGTCACGTGATCTGTAATTTAACCGATTGTGTCCTATTCCCTATGGTGATAATTTGACTGAGTATGGATTCGCATTGCGGTTGGTTTATGCATAGGAGACAGGAGACACTCGATTCTTTTTTGTGGTCATGCAATTCCCTCATATTTTATTTGTTATCTTGATTTATATCTTCCCTATCGATTCATCCGATTTGAACATCGGTTAAATAGTCAAAAGATTATTTAATGCGGCTAAAAGTGATTAAATTAACATTGTAACGAATTAATTATTAAGCACTACAAAATTGAAACTGAATTATTGAATACACATATTAGTGTGATAATAGCTTTCTATATGTAAACATAAATTGTTGAATGAGTCATCGGTAAACATGCAGTTCTTACATTTGAGTTCTGTATCTTTGTGTATTTTGGTTCATCTATATATTGAATATCAACAATTTGTAGTTTTTGATTCAAATAATAGTTATTATGATACAGTTGTATCTCAAGTTTTAACATATGCATGTACTCTTTTAACAGCAAATATATTTACTTTAATAATTGTATTCAATTTACAGGCATTGGTGGGTTGTCAAATGATTTTACTGGTCTTTGCACTTTGGTCCCGAAATTAAGAGGACATCTACACTAGACTCCGTATACTACTGAAACTGATGTTCAAATTTACTAGTAACTTAATTGACTAAGCGGTATACAATATCAGATTCGCCAAGACAAAAATAACATTCTGTGTTAGTAAAGGTAGTTACTGTTCAGAGTTCTCCCAGACGATCCTTTCCAGGAAATACAATAAAGAGTTCTTTTCTACTATACTGAGTGTTTTTGATGCAAAAAAAAAAAAAAAAAAAAAAAACGCACAGAAGATATCAGGCTTATAAATTTCTACGCCAGACGCGCGTTTCGTCTACAAAAGATAGATCTATGACAAAAAGTTAAACCGCAAAATGCAGTACGAAGTTAAAAAGCATTGAGAACCCTCAATTCCAAACTGTTTTGTGAAATACATCTAATTAATTATATATAAGGTAATCTATTTCTGGGGTATCAAAGTACAATTAATGATATTTAACACAAAAAGTAGATAACAACCAGACATTGGTCAAATTGAACACAGGTGCATAAAAATGCTGCGGGTTTAAACGTTTAAACAGGCACCAACCTTCACCCTTACCTGAAATAGTAGTGACAAGCTTGTTTGATAATAAAGCCAACTAACGAAAAATGTTTACGCAACCCACATAACCACTTGAGTGACGCAAAGTATGAAAACATGAAGTTTGGAGTGATCGAAATTGCTAACATATCTCTTATTCATTAAATTGGGACTGAACTTGCTGCATGTATGTGACATTTATGATATATATTTTACGTGCTTTACCTATGTATGTACCTTATGCATTATGTGTTTGCTATTTGGGTACAATGCCAAATTAGATGGCAGAATTCTATTTATCTCCTCCTGCATCTCGATAAATGTGAACATTTTCAACTCTGCAGACATGGTCATCGTCATTTTGCATCAACTCTTCTTCATGATGTGTCTATAAATGACGTACTGCCATTTATGGGGAATCTGCCTTGTATAAATCACATCTGCATTGAGCTATAGTCTTTACTACTATGAAAACTTCATAATCTGAACAACGTATGTTTGGAAAAACCCAGTTCTAATCCCATTCTAGCCAAAACACACTTACAGCAATAATCACTGATATTGCTTGTTACAGACCTTTCAGATATGTTGGCATTTGAAAAGATGTTATGTAGAAATGATAATTTCTAAAAAAAACATTTTGACACAACAAAAGTCTTGATCCAATTAATCAAGGCAATATTCTTTATCATAAATCTTATCCTATCGAACAGAATATCTACTTGACTTCTCGGAATATATACTGTTAACTTGCTTCACTGCTCAAAATGTTCAAATTTACTAGTAACTTAATTGACTAAGCGGTATACTAAGGTACATTTAGATAACAATCAGTCGACATGTCTGCACAAAGTTAACAATTGTACAGCTTATGAATGCCTCTTAATATGTGACTTTACATATTTTAAAACCACCCTTTAGCAAATAATTGATTTGCATACCTATTATATGGACCACAAACTGTCCTATCATCTGTGTTAAACTTTTTTTATACTACCCATTGTAAGTTTTTTTTTTAAGAATTTGTACGATTTCTTTTAAATATTTTGTTTAAAACATTTTTGTTACCGCACAACATTACATATGTGTCTGTTCCCTGAAAAAGAGCCTGTAATTTAGCGGTTGTCGTAAGTTTCTGTCTGTCATATTTGTATTTCGTTAGGTGTTTTTCATTCAATAGGCAGTTAGTTTTCTCGTTTGAATCGTTTTACATTTTGTGATGTCGGAACTTTTTATGACTTGCTATGATATGATTTTTGATGATTGTTGAAGGCCATATGGTGACTCAAAGTTGCTTACATTCTTTTGTGATTTGGTGATATCCTGCAATAGAGATTTAAAAGGAGCTTCTCGGGAACAATGAAAAGAAGCTAGCATAATCTTTCAACTACACGGTCGTTTTTATAGATGATTTTTCTCTCACAAAATAAGCAAAGCTTAGTGACCATATTTTAAATGCATATATCTCATCGAATTTGAAATATAGGATACCACAGAATACAGTTAAGTCTGTCTCAAATTGTGACTTATATCTAGATATTTACAATTAAAAACAAACTTTAAAACAAAAGAGATGATGTCAGCTTCCCAATTGTTAACTTTCCATTTTCATGTAGCAACATTCCAACAGCGCCTGTTAATAGTGTAGCGTCTCATAGTTGACGCGATATTCCAGAGTTTGCTCTTCCTATCATCATTTCCATGATAGAGAGTTACTACTTACAAGGAAGCTATTTAATCATGGATTCAGTGGTAAAGTTGAAGGCATTCCTTCTAAAGTCCTACGAAAGCCATCACTGGTTGTCGACCGTTATGGAATACCTTTGACACATATGACCAAGAATATGTTCCAAAACTCGTTACCACAACCCCGTCCTCTTTTCTGTTATTGTGACATCACCGAATGTAACTTGTCACAGGATTTTTACTTGCATAAACGGCACGACACAAACCACATGAGGAGCAGGAACTAACCTTCGAAATAACCTGTATTCACCACTGGTTTTTCGTTGGGTTCGTGTTACTCAGTGTTGAGTTTTCTATGTTGTGTATTTTGGACTTGTTTTTCTTGTTACGGTATTTCGTTTTTTGCCATGGCGTTGTCAGTTTGTCTTCTACGTACGAGTATTATTTGTCACCTTGGTATCTTCCGCCTCTTTTTAATACTTGAAAACTCATTCTTACTTTTCAAATTTCTTAGAGTTGTCTTTGATTTTTATAGATATCGATATGGTGTTAGCGCGGACCGTTAATGGGACCATGAAATCAGCTGAAGTAGTAACCTAGTAGTTTGCTCAACAAAGAATAGAATGCCAGAAGGCTGTATGTGTATATTATAAAAATAAAGCAAAATAGTATTTGTATACTATATATAGCTAGTTATTTGTGATATATTTGGCTGGCTGTAGGATAAATTTCATTCAACAAAATTTCATCAAACCCAATGCACGATTGTTCTTCCGTTCCGATTGTTACTGATCCATTACTCTTCTTGAAACTTTGTATGTTCACGGCCTTTAACTCAACATTGTTGCAATGTACCTTGTAATTGTCTAGTTTAAAGCAGGGTTTCTTTGTTCTACAGAAACACGTAATCGACACTATTTAGATCTTACAGTCACTATAACACATTGGTTGACCGATACAATATGTCTGTGTCTTATCTCTACAGCAATATGTTTTCGCAGTCACAAATCTCTAGGTGACAGAAAAGTCGGCTGACGTGTATTTTAACTGCTCGTATCCTATTCCCCTTTTGTGACATTTTTACATAGTGTGGATTTGTATTGCGAGTGATGCAGGCATCTTATTCTGTCGACAAACCTGACTCGCTCCTTTCGGCCTTGCGGTCATAAAACTTTCGAGCACGATTTTCGTACGCAGACTCAGAAATCAACCAATCAAAATCATGGATTTGGTGTCACGAGCACAAACTTTGTACTCCGAGTACTGAGTAAAGTTTTATGACCGAGAGCCCAGGAGTTCATGCAATTCCATCTGTTTTTTGTTTTGGTTGTTTTTTTACCTTGATTAGTCTTTTCAATCAATTTTGATATTTTTTATTTAAAACATCAATGAAGTATGTATATTTTTGCCTTGATTTATAGCTCTTTGTAGTCGTCAAAGTAAAAAAACCAGGTATACATGTACATGTATGTTGATTACCGAATTACCGAATAACAAATTGTTTACTTAATTTGACATCTTGATAACTTTTGTTTCTTTTGTACTCTACATTTTGTATATTTGATGAGTTTATTCAAATCAAATGAAGCAATGGGACTTCTGCAATTACAACAATTTTATTTTATTTACTCTCGTATTTACAATTAAATACATTACACAACTATATTTCAATAAATGTTATCGCTAACAGTTAACAACAGATTATCTACTAATTAACACAAATGAACTATTATCTAACTGTCTACTCTCTTGCAACCATTGGTAGCTATACTGAGCAGGTTTTAATGTTGATGACACATGATCCAGTTTTGAAAATGGGAAGTTTGGGAGCACGTTAATCTTGTTAAACCCACCAAGACGATGTGCCTGCACAAAGTCTGGTATTCTTGATTATACATATTGTTTCCAATTATGATTGGTACTTCCTGTAATCTTGCTATGCGTTATTACATGGTTAACTGTTAAAACTATGAACTATATGTGATTATTCTAACATTCCTTCTGTTTTTCGTAAAATTATCGTAAACAATACAAGGGAACCTGGAACAAAATAGATTTAATAAAAGAAAGCAAACAACATAAGCGCTAAAAACTTTCTTGTACCAGTATGGCATAATCAACAAAATTGTTTAAAGCAGTTTTCAAACGTTTTCAATCGAATGCTGGACTTTAGCATGACACAACATTGTAGGATAGTTGGTGTTCAGAATCCGTTGTTCCCATTCATGTTGAATGTATAGGTTTCAATTGAACTTGGTAATTCTTCTGTTGCCAAACTATCAAAGACTGTATTTAATATATAAGAGAATTAGTAAAAACAAATAAAAATTCTATCAATTATGTTAGCAAAACAATAAGTTGTCAAACAATTAGTCAAATGAATTGAATTTCGAAAAAATTGGTATCGGCAATATTTTAAGCAACATTTGTTATTATTGATGTCTGTCCATTTATGGCAAACCACATGGGATTAATTGGCTTTGCATTGAATCATAGAGAAGATCTCTTATCGATTTGTTTTCTAAAATCATGTGATAAAATTTGAGGACACTCAAATATTGCAGATTCTGAATAAACCTGCAAGCGGCAATGCATGACACGCATAATCATCATGTCCCAATTCATGATTACAGATTAAAGATTAAAACTCCTAAACAGTAACATTGAATCCGTATTCCAATAAAGTCAATTAGAGCATATTGCCAACACATGTGTTTATAATAGTAGATATTGTTCCATCCATCGTAATTTTCAATAAACCATAAAACTAGTACCATTACTACCTTTTTCGTATTTTAGTAACAAGGAAAGTGATAGAAGGGTGTTTATGTTGTTTTTCGAGGGATAGAGAACCTTAACTTATCCAATTATATGTCTGTAATTTTGCCTTGTTTCTTTGAATCGGTCTTCAATATGTCTGAAAAATACCGAACTCAAACGTAAAGTGAACTAGGGAGAAGTCCATAAAACATGACGAAATCAAACGCTCAACTATATCATCCGACGGGACATATGGGAAATAACTGTCGTATTCCCGACTTAGTACAAGCATCTTCCGAAGAAAATGGTGGATTAAACCGGGTTTTATGACCTCCCAAATGCATAACGGTTGTTCTGCGGTTTTCATGTTGTGTCGACTATTATATTATTATGCATTTCTCTGTGATGAATGTTCTTGCGCGTGTTTGTGCTGTATTTCTGTCACGTAGTGTTGTCATTTTAGCGATATATTTCAACATTGTCATAAAGCTGGAGGTTTGGCTAGCCATTAAACCAGGTTTAACCCACCATTTGTTCTTAAAATGTCCTGTACAAAGTCAGAAATATGGCAGTTATCAAATAGTTTCTATGTATGTTGGCGTTTGTTTTTGTTGCACTTCAGTTTTCCTGTTGTTCCTTTGTTTTCCTCTTATAGTTGATGTGTTTCCCTCGGTTTTAGTTTGTAACCCGGATTTGTTTTCTCTCAATCGATTTATGACTTTGGAACAGCGGTATACTACTGTTGCCATTATTTGTTTATAGTTCCGCTACATTGCAAAATTGGGTGAGCTACCCAAACAGACATAATTGGTTAACGTGACAATAATTGGGATCCAGAACCCCAAACTGTGCTAAACATATATCACAGACTTACAACTGGAATAAACCTTCTTAGTACAACTGTTTCTCTATCGCTTATACAATTAAAAAAGATGGACGGAAAATACCAAAGGATAGGCTAACAAGTAAAGGTTTACAGTATAGGTAAAGGTGTATATAAAGAAGTACATATATTAAGATGACATAAACCAGTTCTCGTCAAGAATATGATATAACTCACAATACGTATCTTTAATATGATTAAAAGAAGTAGTCCTAAAAAGTTAGTTTGTGATATGATATAAAGCAGTGGTCCAAAAAAAGAATCTAGAATATGATAACAATTAGTGATAAAAAATGTATATAATATGATTAAAAGTAGTGGTCCAAAGATTTAGTCTGTTTCATAATTTAAAAAAAAGTCCAAATAAGAGATTATGTAATATAATTAAAATTAGTGGTTCACAATATGACAGAAAAAAAAACCTGCTTACGAAAGTTAAGACAAATTGTTCTCTTGAGCCAACAAGATCTAATTAAAACAAGAAAACAATAAAACAACTCTAGTATCATCAGAAAATATTACGACCAGATACAGAAAAATGCATGTCAACTTACCAGGGGAGTGCATAGTGATAAAGCTTCCGGAAATTGGATCATCATTGTCCATGGCGTCTAACAATAAAATATTATTGCATTATGAAACGATTGATGTCTTTATATTTGAAAAAAGGCTTAAAATATCAGTTTACATATGTTTGTCATAAGAGTTAGATTTTGCTCTTTGTATGATCATATTTTTAAGCTTTCTTCTGGTATGAATTTTCGTGTGTTCATATGAGAGTAAAGTATTCATAACCATATTTTAAGCCGTCAGCATTGCTCATTAGCAATAAAGATAAAAACAACTATTTTCGTTCTATTTTCGAAATTTCAAGCATTGTTATTCCATTTGGAATACAAGGGTCCATATCCAGAGGTAAAAAATAGTTTACCAATGTACGTACAAATCGCGTATATCGATTAAAAAGTGATAAATCAAAGTTACAAAAAATACCACCTACTATAAATATGAATTATGAATTTAACACATAAGAGAGGTATTACATCCCATTAAATTTTACCTTGTACAATATACTTTTAACATGTAACAATTTCTTTATATCATCTCTTACCTTATTAGTAAGAGAAGTATGCTCGAATTTACTTTTTGCTGATTAATATTTCTGTAGGTGTTTTATATGTAGTATTTTAACAAAAGAGTTTGTATTAAAACAAAAGACACAACTATCATATAGTGTGCATCGTAGTGTTCTATTCCTATTGTTCAAAATCAATCAGTAGTATATGTATGTTTAATTCTATTTACATAATACATAAGTGTCGAGCGCTCACAAACATGTGTGTAGCTCCGCCATATTCTTGTGGGACTGTCCGAAGTCAAGAGCCTGAAAATCAGTTGTTGCCGGTCTTTTAAGGGCTGTTGACATCAAAATATTCGTTTCAGATCAAAATTGATTTACTATTGACATGTCTTTTTTATACTGATTAAAAGTATAGAATCAAAACTATATATAGACTTACAGTTTAAAATGCTAGACTTGTATCCACTTGAATAGCTGTTATTGGCAGGTTCTGTTAATTATGAAAATAGCATATCAATATACTGAAGAACTATGTAAGGCTAAACAAAGATGTTCATGTAGTCAAAATTCTCCTTCTTAAACCTATGTGAAAAAATAAGTATTTCGTTGTCTACATTGGTATTTGGTATGGCGAATAGCATAATAACATAACACAAATGTCTCCAGGCTTAAGGATTTATCCAAAGAGCGTCAAAAAACAAACACAAAATATTCCATACTCATCAGAGATATAGGCTTAAAATTGTCCGCTGGACCCCCGCTGTGCTTGTCAAACCATCATTGAGGCTCCAGTCAAAACAAGAAGACCAATCAAGTACGAAGTTGAAGAACATAAAATTTAAATAAGCAATATAGTGTGTACGCCATGATCAGAAGTGGTAAAGCGGTGTTTATACTATGATAAGTATTAGCTATACAGTGTCCAATGTTCAACGAGAGGTAAAACAACCTCTAATATTTATCAACCTGATTATATGAACTTATGCTGTCCTACATTCTCGTGTCAATTTCTGTTCTTCGGATTAATTTAACACAGAAACTTCACCAAGAGTTAAATGAGATATAATATTGTGGAATGCCTAGAAAAACACATGTACATAATTTGAAAGCAAAACATCATAACAAAAACCTTATATTATTGTTTGAAACTAAAAATATGTGAATTGAGAGTCATCCCCCAAAATCAGATTAAATATTTTATAATTTAACCATACTGCAAATAATTCTAGATTACCATCGACAGATCCTTGCTGAATATAGGAATGCATACTTTTCTGTTGATACGCAAATCCAAAGTGTTCATCAGCATCTGTGTTCCCTGATGTGATGACACTATTTGATGAGACATTGTTATAATTTTCGTCCTTTTTATCCAAATCAGACATCGGAACCGTTGCCACATAATTTTTGTCCTCTGATTCAGTTGGTATTTTTCGAAGAGTACGTCTGTTGCTTTGTAAGGTTGTTTGATGTCCTTCTGAGTTAATCGAAAATACTTGCAGTTTTAAATTGTCAATTTGTTCCTCGATTGATCCATCCCATCCAACATGGTCCAGATCTTTGAAACCTGAAACTCCAGAAATCAGGTCCGAATTACTTCCTTCAGTAGAATATGCTGGCAGATACTTATTATTTAGGTAACTGTCAAGAGTCTGATTTCCTATGGTATGTACTTGATTTCTATGCAATAAAGGAAGGTGATTACAAAGAGCAACTGGTCTTCCATCCGGTTGTTTGTCTTGTTGTGTACCTGTAGTTGAATACAAGCTTTATTTTAAGACAAGTTGAAATATTGAAGCAAGTAAGCTTAGTGAAAGTTAATTTCTGCATGTGAAATATGACATAACTGTTATCTCAATTATTCTGTTTAATATGATTATAAAGACAACTTTATATCTACAATTTTGTTTATTTGGGCTCAGTTATAAACCACAATTAGTGTTAAACAATATCAAGATTTCATTTTATCTAATAGCTCCTGTTCACATTTATTAAGTTGCATTCATATGCAAGAGTTAATAAAGATTCAGTCGAGATAAGGATGCTATCACAAGTTTTATTTCCTGTAGTACCTTGATTTCCATGCAATAAAGGTAGTTGATCATGGAGAGGAATGCGTCTTCCATCCCGTTGTTTGTCTTGTCTTTTTCCTGTAGTTAGATAAAAGCTATGTTTTATGAAAGACATGAACACTTGTAGACTTTGAAATGTTGAATCAAGTCTAGTTTAAATGGTCTGAGAGAGTCCATATTTCTGTATGTAACATCCTCCGGTTTTGGTGGGTTCAATCTTTAGTTTTCTACGTTGTGTTTTGTATACTGTTGTTTGTCGTTTTTTGAGATGCGTTGTCAGTTTATTTTTTAAATACGTGTTTGAATGTCCCTTTGGTATCTTTCGCCTCTCTTTTATGATTGTTTATTATATAATTAAAAGGGGCCAAAAAATATTAAAGGGATATTAGTCGAAGACAAATGGACAATATCATTGGCAAAGAACGAACACGAACAGAAAAACTAGTTTACAAAACACAAAATGGAATAATAAAGACCGCGAAACACGAACCAACCGAAAAAAACAAAACAAAGATGATATCAGGTACTCCGGAAAGGGTATGCAGATCCTGCCCTACATGTGATACCATCATTCGGGTTTGGGAGTATGGCTGATGACCAAAAAAAAAAGTTACCAAGTATAAAAACACTATTTGCCCTTCATAAGAAGACACAAAATAGTTCTCTTTCCATTTATTTACAGTTTAAAGTGTTCCTGTATGGACTGTTTCAATTTTGACACATCTTAATAAAACTAAAACAAAATAACGTTGATATTATTTATTGTGTCATCTGTCACTACATTTATATTTATTAGACACCAGTTCAATCTGCATCTATATAAGGCTTATTCAGGACAGTGAATAAATTAAGTTGAATAACATATGGTGGATCAATAACATCTTAAATATACCTCTTGTAAATTAAGGGCATATGGGGCCACATGCAGATGTGTTGATGCATCTATGTGTGATTCCTCCGTTGAAATCCCATCATCGAGGGCAATTCGCCTAATGATTATTTTTTGATACTTGCATGGCGTGGCAACCGTTGAGGAGTGTGGCTGTTCTCCTAAGTTCCTTTTGGAACAAAGGCCCCAACATTTTATATGTACGACTTTATAATTGCTTGCAACTAAGTGTACCTGATGAAATTGAATCCAGACTCACCATTTGTGTATACGTAAATATTATCATGCGTTTAAATTTTCGGCGCCATTACGAATTAGCCGACCTATACGATAGGTCTGTGTCTCAACTCACATGTTTTCTCGAGTTAAGATATTTGGATACCAGATTAATTGTCTTATCTGTAATATATCCGCTGTGTACTACTCCCGACTGTGGCATTTATATTTTGACTAAGTGTAGATTCGCCTATAGCGAGTGATGCATTCATTACAGGGGACCATTTCTCTGTATTCCTTTTGGGATTAATGCCATTCCAATAGTTTTAGTTTATTACATTTATTTTTGCATATTTTTAAACGAGTTATGAAATTTTGATATCTTTAAACTAATGTCGCCTTAGTCTACTTACGTGTATTCTGACATTCTGTTTTTATGCAAGATATGTTTGGTTCTGTCTATTAAATCTTTTCACTTTTTGGAAAACTTTCAAATATTCTATGACTTTCCGAATTTTGATAAATTTCAAGTACACATTTGAAACAAAAAAACAAATTGTAATTGTTTTCTGCATATATACTTACCATCTGTAAGACTGATGCTACCAGATAAGGTTATTCCCTTTTTTCGCTTACATATAGTCATGATGAAAACTGACAATACTACCAGAGACACTCCAAGTACTGCGATACTGAAAGTTACGAATTATGGTGTCTCTTTATATATACTAAAATTATATTCCTAAATATTTCAGCATCTAAATTGTTAATTGTACTACATCTTTCATGTAACAAACGATAAAACAGACTCGTCTTGGATACATACTTGTTGAATTGCTTGTTATTGGCTCTGAGCTGGCTTTCAGTAACTGCGGGTACTCTCATATCGGTACTTTGTGTCTAATGTTTTCTTACTTGTTTTTGTGTTTTTGTTGGGATCTAATGAGTCAAGCCTTTTCAATTGATTGTTATAGTTTGTTCTTATGTAGTGTTGTTACACCACTGTCCGAGGTTAGGGGAGAATTGAGTGCCAACACATATGTTTAACCCCACCAAATTCTGTATGTGCCTGTCCCAAGTAAGAAACCTGTAACTTAGTGATTGTCGTTTGTTGCTGTTTATCATATTTGTTTTTTTGTTTGTTGTTTTATACGTAAATTAGGCCGCTAGTTTTCTCGTTTGAATTGTTTAACATTCAGTGATGTTTTGCTCATTAGTGAAGGTCGTAAACTAATCTATAGCAGATAAGTTTTGGTAATCTTGGTTCTGATGGATAATTGTCTCAATCATACTACAGATCTCCTTATTTTATACAGCAGTTGTAAGGCCATGTAGATAGAAGCTTACACATATAATCAAGGGTAATATAAGTATACTGGCATGACATTTGTAAAGTAATCCCGTAATACATTTGTAGGACAAAACTTAAAACGGGTTTTTAATGTTTTAGTTTATGTCGCTGTTAATGTTGTCGTTTTGGTGTTGTGTTTGACGTTGCCATAAAAGCGGGAGATTTGGCATGCCACAAAACCAGGTTCAACCCAACATTTTTTTCTTAAAATGTCCTGTACCAAGTCAGGAAAATGGCCTTTGTTATATTATAGTTCGTTTCTGTGTGTGTTACATTTTACTGTTGTTTTTTTGTTGTGTCGTTGTTCTCCTCTTATATTTGATGCGTTTCCCTCAGTTTTAGTTTGTAACCCGGATTTGTTTTTATCTCTATCGATTTATGAGTTTCGGACAGCGGTATACTACTGTTGCCTTTATTTAATAATCAAACGTCAAAATACTAACATAATAAACATCTTTGAATTGTCCTTCTGTGCGGCTTTACTACTTCTTAACTTGGAAACTGTAATTAAACATTTGGTAATACCGAAATAAGATTGAAAATATATTTAGTTTTACATTTGTTAAATAGAAAAGTTTTTTTTTCAAGTCGTCAAATTTCAAATGTAGTTATGCTCAGTTCTATATTGTTTAGAATATCATCAATATGAACATTATTAGTTGTAAAAAACTATCTATTCCATGAAACTCATTAACATATTAAATGATTGGTGGCGCGTCATGAGTTTTTCGAGTAAAATATTATCATAGGTGATTTTTAGTAAATGTCAACACGACGCATGCGAAGTTCGCATATCATGATCAACGTTCGAAAGCAGAAACAAACATTAAAGGTTTTGCAGCAATAAAATCATTTTTTATAAAACAAGTAGAAAAATTTATAAACTCATGTAAATTCTAATTAATGACACAGAGGATTTCAAAGTCATCTGTTACATGTTTTCTATTACTTACCTTTAATTAAAGTGTCCGTCGATAGCTGTTGTTGTGGTTCCGAATTCATGTGGTGTTCAGTTTGTAAAGATTGACTGTTTTTCTTAGGCATGAAGTCGACACTATAATGCAATTTAAACAAATAAGCAAGACGAATACGAAAAGTGAATATAGATTTGACTGTGACTATTTTGATTATTATTATTTTACAAAAAAATGTAATGTCATTTTTTCATTGGAAAATGACTGATCATGATAAAAAAAAAGCTACGTGTTCTCTCAATAAACATTTAAATACATAAATGCTTTTTAGAATGTAAATGATTTCCATTTGTAAGTTTGATAACAATAACAGGATATCAAAGAGCGACGAAAAAAGACTGAAGATCACCCCCCCCCCCCCCCTCCCCCGAAAAAAAAAAGAAAATAGAACAATTTAAAAAGCAAAATCATTACGTACATCAGCCATACTAGGTCTCAATGTTGACCAATATGCACCGAAATTGTTTTCTTTTGCAAATGATATATGCATTGAATTAAAGCATTTAAGCCCAAATTTAAGATCAATATAAATCATTCTGAACATTTCCATAACACTGAAGTAATTATATCATTCTCTTAATATTGTGTCATGCAAAATACCTAATTTTACGTCTGCATGGTCCGCATCCTGTCTCATTTTTAAAGGTGTCTTTTGGACATGGGCTACAAACTGAATATTAAACAAAACAGTTAAATTAATTAATTGATTGATCACAAACAGTTAGAAATATTTTTTTTGTCGTTTTTCTATATCGTATTGTAGAAAAATTGCCGAATTACTATTCAATGTTAAGACTATATACGATAACTTTTGCCAGAATTAGAACTAACTTAGTTTTCGAACATTTCACATCGGCGAAGTCACTTAATATACATAAAACATTGTTGTCCATTCTGTGCTATTAACTACATAAATAAAGACCCACAAAATTAAACTTCGAGAAATCAAATATGAATAAAAAAGTGGTTTCACAGGAAGGTAAAATGAAACGTTAAAATCATAAATAGTTTATCATATACATGTCATCGTCCTGAACATACAAGAACTATTCGTCACTGCATGCAATACCCAATTAATCATATGCATGCCTCTTTGATGTCTTAATATAAAACAATTATTTCTAATGGCGTTAAAACTTTAAACAATGATGAACATATTGTACAAAAATTAATGAGTGTGTCTTTATACTCTTTATATTTCCTGTGAAAAGTCAGCCTAAGTTGTATCCACGTCTTTGACTGCGGGCTAGTTGTTAAATTTGACCTATAGTTACGAATTAGTAAAATGTTTTTGGGTTTTTCTACATTCAGTGGAAGTTTTTTATGCAGTACAAAGGGAAATGTGTCAGTATTCGTCTAAATTGCGATTCTTGTTTATTTGTAGTACTTAAATGAATAAAACGTTGAATATCTTCTTTATGCATATCTTTATTTTATGGAAAAAATACTAAGGAAAAATTAACCAAAATTGTAACTTTAATATGAGAAGTAGCAATAAGTGCATTCATGATTTTGCTATAAGTTTCATTTCAAATAAAATTGTACAACACGAATATTGGAATAATGATTCATCAACGAATAAACCGGTTATATATGGCCTGTGGTATGGGATTCAACTTCAATTTTAACGTTTAAGTAGAACATGTTTCTGAAAAAAAAACACTATCTGGTGCTAAGAGAATACTTAACAATATCAATATTAAGATGCTCACATACCTCCTTTCTCATTCATTGTGTGTCCTACTGCACAAGGTTTGTTGCTGTCACATAGACAGGGATCCCCAAAGTAACATTTTGTTGTGTCACATTTGCACCCTTTCAAACTGTTACAAAAGACATCTTTTTCCGTGCGGCTGTGTATTAAATCTGATTTGTATATATTTTAAAAATCGTAAATTAATATTGTTAACATAGAAAATACATGTCATAATTTAACGAAAGATTAAAAATAAAATTTCATGAAACAATGCCATCAAGGATTTTCTCGTGTGATACATGCTGACAAGTGAAAAAAAGAATGATTACACACGAGCTTTAATCTACAGACTATTGCTTTTTCTTTTGTTCGTACTTTAAACAATAACAAAAAAGGACAAACAAGAAAACACGCGATGTCGGGCTAAGTATACCACTACTCGTATAGGATTACAGGAAGAAGTTATCTGACAGATCCAGATTATGCTCAAATATTACAACTAATCACTTATAAGCTGTTGACTAAATATAAAGTCATCCTGCTCAGCGGTATTTCAGAAAAATGACAAAAAAACTTTACTCAACATATAGATAAAGTTAAAGAATCGGAATTATGTGACCAGAAAGTCCCCACAAATGCTCACAGTCACTGTGAATCTGCTGACCAAGTATGAAGGCTTTCTTGTTAGTATTAATTAAGAAAAGTGTGGCACAATTTTAAATTTCCTTAAAAACATAAAAAAACTCAAAGTTTCAGAGGACAGAAAGTATGTGTTCGACAGGTCCGACAAGTGTTCACACATTACAACCAATCACTGCCAAACTGCTGAATAAGTAAAAAAGCATTCCGTTTAGCAGTATCTGAGACAAGTGCGACGGAAACATTTGTTGGATGAACCGACGAATGGCAGACGAAGGGATGTACGGACACACAGCGGACGGACAGAAAAGGTGAGTGCACTAAAGCTCAAGTTTTTAGAGTGAGGTATAATAATTGTTTTTGCAAAAAAAAAAATAATTAAACAAAACGACATCTACCGATGATATTAGTTCTTCAGTATTTGCAAATTCATGTAAAGTGGGGGGAGGAGGAGGTTGACGCATTTGAACATGTTTAACCCGACCACGTGCACATTCTATGTGTCTGCCCCATGTCAGGAGCCTGGATGTCAGTGGTCGTGGTTGGTACATGTCTGTTTTTTGTAATTTTTTTTCATAAATTAGGAATTGAATTGTGTCATTTTTTTCTATGTCGGGACCTTTTATAGCCGACTGTACGTTATGTATTTTTCTCTTTGTTGAAGGCCTTACGGTTGCCTATAATTGCTTACAGCCACGTTATTTGAACTTTGGTGGATAGTTGTCTCATTAGCAATCTTACCACTTCTACTTATTTTTGTATCTATAGAATATGTCAATTTCTGAAATTCTCTATCGTCAATTGCAGAAACAATCAAAGACGAATAACCAATACCAAAATTCCTTTGCTTTTTTTTTTTGATCAGTCGAACAAAAAAAGGTGCATATAAAACCACATATCGGTTCGGTAAAACACACACGAAGCAAAATCAATCACACATATACACAAGTAAAAGCAAAACAAGTATAAGTAATACCCAGTTAGAAAAAAAAACCCACATATAAATAAACTGACAATTTTTCATTCTGCTTATATAAAATTATGCTCTCCTCCACTCTCATATAATCGTCTGTACTTTGAGTTATATTGTATACGACCTTGATATAAAGGGTACAGATAAAAATTATAAAGTGCTATTATCAGAGTACATTTTTAAAAAATAACCTTTTCAGAAATTCGATCAAGCCCTGTAGAATGAAGTACCACGTTTTATAACATTCTTGCAGGTACAAGTATGTCCTCTCAAAAAATTTGCAAGCGAAGTATTAAAGATAAATGATATATATGTATATCCCTGTTGACTTTTTAGTATTTTTAGTAGTGAAACTAGTTCAATTATTGATATATCAGTTTTCACTGCAAACTATCCGAATGAGAAATGAACATCTATTTTTCTATAAATGAATATTTAATTTTCTCGTTTAAATTGTTTTACACTATCATTTCGGAGCCTTTGTAGCTTACTATGTGGTTGCTCATTGTTGAAGGCCGTACGATGACCTATAATAATAGTTGTGATCTTCTATACCATTTGTATCTGGTGGAGAGTTGTCTCATTGGCAATCATCCCACATCCTATATCTACACCAAACAAACCGAGAAATGTTAAGTTCATTCTTTCACATACAAATAAGCTTTGTATGAGATAAAAGTGTTTAACTAAAAGTTGAGAAACTTACCTCTTGCAAGACATTCGCTTCTTGGTTGAAAACATAAAGATTTACTAATGTTTCCAGTGGAGGAGATCAATTCGGGCTGTACCATACCTGACCTACAGGGTTTACATAGATCGTGCATGTAATTGTCGGTACAAGGTTGTATCTCATTACCTGTAATTTAAGAATTGTTGTTCAAGTTTCTTATCTAAGTCGTTATTGAATCACTTTTAAATGTTTTCTTCCCACAATGCGATACGTATTCACCAATCAGTCATTGCAAATTCCCATTATGTTTAAGAAACAACAGACGTAAGGTATACTTCAATGATACAGCAAGCCACAAACAAACATATAAAACATGTATTATAAGTAAATTTGTATTTGCAATAAGTAAGCCATGGGTGCTACTAGTAAAATATGAACTGCTTATCCTTTTAGTGAACCATCGGTATTTTGCAAGAAACGAATTACTCAATTTTTAGTTTTCTGGGTAGAGTTTTGTGGAATATTGGTTGTCTTTTCGTTTTCTTCATGGATATCTTGTTTTGTTGGACTTTTAAGTGGCACGCTGGTAGCGTCTCTATATTTATTATCAATGAAAATATGCAACCACATGGATGATTGTTGCTTTGCTTTAACTTAAACAGTAAATCTTATTCCTGATTATAAGGAGATTGTTTCTTTTTAAAAAACTATGGTAGGATTCTTTTGTGTTTTGTGAACATCTTAATAATTTCGCACTTTTCATTAAAAAAAAAACAGCTAGTGTAAAATCCCTTAGTCGTAATGACTGTTTATCTAGCAAACAGACGACTATTTCTAGGTAAAATAACTAGAGATGATAAACCTGTCTAGTTTCCTAATATTTATTGCATAAAGTCGAGAAACAGGTTATTAACAAAGCGTCGTTTAGGAATGTAATGTGTGCAAAGAGAACACATAGATGGTTAATGAGCTACATCTAAGGATATTTTTATGCAAAATGTTGAAGAAAGTTATATAGACAACACTAAAAAAACTAGTCATAACGTGTCATTAAATCACTGAGGTACGTAAGAGAAGGACATTTTGCAAATATTGCTTAAAACAGCTTATTCCTGTATAAAAAAACATTCAACTGTCAACTGCACATCAAGTATATAGTTTGTCTTGTGTAAAACAAAAACCGGACAAAAGCGATTGCATTTTTTTTTCAAAGGTGGAAAAACTATTGCTTTTTCTGGCTAAACTTCGTGGTGTATTTATTAGAAAAATTACAGTATACATGTTTAAAAATTTAGAGCAGGTAAAATATATGTATATATAATATAAACAACAATTTACAAATTTCCTGCGTTCGAAGTGTTTTTCTGAATTTACTTTCATCAGGAACCCTCGAAACCAAAAATTTAAAAGTCAATGATGTGTAAAAATCGAAACAGTTTAAAAGCTATATGACCAAAAAGGACCTAAAAATAACGGCTAACAGATATAAGAAGATGTGATATGAGTGACAATGAGACAACCCTCCATCCAAGTCAAAATTTATAAAAGTAAACCATTAACACGGAGCCTTGGCTCACACCGAACAGCAAGCTATAAAGGGCCCCAAAATTACTAGTGTAAAACCATTCAAACGGGAAACTCAACGGTCTAAGTCCATCTAAGGTCAACTTTGCCTGACGGAGTTGAAACCTTAGCTTCTTTGTAATTTCTAAATTTCTAAGTAGACAATTTTAGAAAGGTTTGTTAGAAATCATGTCAGTACCGATTGATTGGTTGATTGATTGATTGTTGGTTGCTTAACGTTCTGTCAGTACCGAATTACTGACTACAAAGCTGGTGATACCCTCGGGGACTGATAGTCCGCCAGCAGCAGTATCGACCCATTGTTTCGAACAAATGAAAACAACACGTAATAAATTGTATGTGTCAAAGGCTCTTTTCTGTATAACCTTCATCAGGAGGTGTCATACATTATATGACATCAGCTGCAATTCATATACATTTATGAAGCTTTTTATGGCGATAATTGAATGAGCTTTAAAAAAATGAAATACACCATACTAGTAAGTTTCGAACAGTTAATTCCCTTTGCATATACTTTTTTGTTATTACGAAGAGGCATTTTTATTATGTTACAGATACAACTTCAATGTATTATCATATTTTATTAAAATCTAGATTGTTGCTTAATATCAAATAAATTTCTTTATAATAGTTGTGTAGCAGATTAACTTAATAACCAATTGGCCAATTTTGATTAGTATTTCAGAAATTTGTATCAATCCCTCAGACAGATGTGAATTGAAAGACTAATGCACAAAGTAATAATTAAAAAAAAATATGTTAACAGGTAAATTATTTGATGTATCCATGCTATACAAAATATGATAAACTTCAATTTTAATTTCTTGCAACAGAACAAAACATGTAATTAAGATATCAAAGTATATGAAAATTTTATCAGCGTAGTTACTTTTCTTATTATAACACATTTTCAATTGATTTTTAATTCAGAATTACTATCTTTTGGCAATATGAATACAAGGAGTGGATTCAGATTTTTTTCAGGAGAGTGTCACCAATACGAATTTTCATATCTTTTTCATTTTTTTTTATAATTTAGTCAGGAAGGTATTTAAAAATGAAACTGTTAACACATGGTTTATAAAAGTGAATAATATATCATTTTTCTTTGTTGGATGCGAGAAGAAGGGCTTAAGAGCACACACATCAAGTTTTAAGTGTAAATCATAATGCACTTAGTGACAGCCCATGTATCCGCCTGTAGATGCAATCATAACATTAAATAAAACATAAAACAGGATAACAGGAATCGCCAAAAATACCGCGTAGTACAATAGACTATTTAAATACCAACAATCGACTTCTCCCGTACAAAACCAAAAGAAAGAAACAAAACCAATAAAATAGAATAAAACAAACACCATTACAACGATCAACACAAGGTCCAGATAGCGTGAGTGGGTACAGGCACACAACATGATTGGATAAAATCAGTGTCACGTGAGCATACACACATATATATATATATATATATAAATATTCTTTGTACAATACAAGAAGGCAAAATGTGATTCCGTCTCTACCACAAATATCACGTTGACGAATTTATTCCGAATTGTTTTCATTTTTGCATGATTATGATAAACATAGAAAATCGTTATTTCCGTCGGTTATTCAGACGATCACTCCAGAATCTAGATTATTGTTTATTTAATTTAATTACTTTGCAAACCAAAATTAAGCTATACTTACAATGACTAACGATATCAATATTAATTATTTTCTCTTATAACTTAGGGAAACAATTTACAGAAAGCTTTCCATGGAAATCTAATCATATTCAAATTGCACGGATTGAGATTTACTATACAAATATGAAACAGTTTACCTGGTTCACAATTAAGATACGGGATACAATGTCTGCTTAAAGTAGGGTAGTAAACATATCCTCTCACAGCCTGTAATTGAACATAATAAAGCTAAGATATACTAAACTTTTAAAGTTGTTGATGCATACCAACATTTTGTTTTTCGAGAAAAATAAGCATACAGTGTGTATTAAACTTACTCAGTTATACTTGTTTTACTTGTTGTCTCCATATAAATTCTACTTTTGGCACAGATAAAAACGATAAATAACATATTCAGAGAATTTCATTAAAAATTGCTTAGTATAATCAAGATATCCTGAACTGATATTGACTACCAATCAGACGATGCTCAAACATATTTATTTAAAATGAGACAAACGTTTCGTGTGCTGTGTTGCTGTAGATAATATCTCTAGTAAAAGACAACGAGGGTCGATTGAGATCCAAGCGTTACGACAGAAGGAATGATTATCAGCTTTCCAGTTGTGAAATTTCTATTTCTATATAGCAATATTTCAGCACAGCCTGCATATGGATTATATGTCTCTTATATAAACAATTTCAAAACTGTACGTGATGTATAATGAATTTCTTGATAAATGGTTGCTGTTTACAATGAACCTATTAAACCAAGTGTTCAAAACAGTAGAATTGTTCGGTCCTTGTGCATCCTTAACTTTCAAGTGTTCGGCTTTGAGCGTTCCTGGTGGGATAGAATCCAGAAAAGCGCTTCGGACGCATCCAATTTATAACGTGTTGTTTTCATTTTTTACGGACAACATCACTCGTTGGTTGACCATTATCGGATATCTCTGTCACAGATGACAATAATAAAAGTTTGTTCAAATTTTCGTAAACACAATCGTGTTCACTTTTTGCTCGGATAGGACATTACAAAATGAGACTCACCACCGAATAAGTATTTACCATTAGTGACACGACAGGTGAAACTAGAAGAGTAGGATGTGCTTACCTTTCCGAAATCACCAAAAATTTTTTGGGTAAATTTATGTTTCCCAATCGTTAGTTTGCTATACAGTGTTTAATGAACTTGGTTGTCTTTTCGTCGTTTTTGTGTTTATGCCTTGCTTTTTTTAGACTTTCAATGTCCCTTTGGTATCTTCTGTCTCTCTTTTAGCCACGATATATAATTCTTATCACTTAGGATAACAATCAATGTTAATGACCATCATGATGCATCTCATCATACAAACGTCAACTGGACTCCTACTAAAATACCGGTACAGGTCGTGGGCTACTAATGTGTGCGGGCATAGGTACGAAATAAAAAATTGAAAACAACACGTTTAATAATTTCATGCGTCCGAAGCGCTTTTCTGGATTTACCTTCATCAGGAACGCTCAATGCTAAACATTTGAAATCAGAGGGATGTATAAATACCGAAATAGTTGAAGAGCTATATGACAAAAATACCTAAAACAAATAGCCAAATTCATTTAAGGTCAACTTTGCCTGAGGGAGTTGAAATCTCAGTTTCTTTATAATTTCAAAGTTTATAAACGGACAATTTTAGAAAAGTTAGTTATAAATCATGTCAGTACCGAAGTACTACTGAGCTGATGATACCCTCGGGGACTGATAGTCCACCAGCAGAGGTATCGACCCAGTGATGTAAAAAATTGAAAACAACACGTTTAATAATTTCATGCGTTCGAAACGCTTTTCTGGATTTACCTTCATCAGGAACGCTCAATGCCAAACATTTGAAATCCGAGGGATGTATAAATACCCTCGGGGACTGATAGTCCACCAGCAGAGGTATCGACCCAGTGATGTAAAAAATTGAAAACAACACGTTTAATAATTTCATGCGTTCGAAACGCTTTTCTGGATTTACCTTCATCAGGAACGCTCAATGCCAAACATTTGAAATCCGAGGGATGTATAAATACCCTCGGGGACTGATAGTCCACCAGCAGAGGTATCGACCCAGTGATGTAAAAAATTGAAAACAACACGTTTAATAATTTCATGCGTCCGAAGCGCTTTTCTGGATTTACCTTCATCAGGAACGCTATATACGAACCTAGGTGTTAAAAAGTAAAATAACAAAAATACCAAACTCCAAGGAAAATTCAAATCGGAAAGTCCCTTATCAAATGGGAAAATCAAAATCTCAACACATCAAACGAATGGAAAACAACTGTCATATTCCTGACTTGGTACAGGCATTTCCTTATGTAGAAAATTGTGGATTAAACCTGGTTTTGTAGCTAGCTAAACTTCTCACTTGTATGACAGTCGCATAAAATTCCAAAGTTAAATGTTTTTTTTTTCAATCGGCTGCTACCGATGACAATAATACCAAAACCTAGTGTAACACATTGCATAAATGTAAGAAATATCACGTCTTGTATAGCTATCTATTGCTGAATTTAAAGATTTTTTTTGTTATTTATCGATTCAGTCTCTTTGGTCGACTTTAATGGCAAAATGTTTATATCAGTCAAGAATAGTTAAGAATATGAAAAACTAATCAAATATTAGTTTAAAATGTTGATAAAAAAATAGGAACATCAACGAAAACTTAGTTCAGGAGCACCGCTCCGTAGTATCGAATACCAAAATAATACTCGGTTTCATGCTAGGACATTGTCCCCTTCTCTTCATAAGGAGTATTTTCTTGAGAACACCAATCGGAGATTAAAATAGTAATCATTGATTAATCATAGTTGAATTAGTTTCGTATGTTTTTCAGCATTGTCGTAATAGTACCTCTCAAATCGTATGTTTTAGAATTCTTTAAAACGAAATATTGACAGTAAAACTGTACTTTTTTTTCATTTTTGGGAAGTTGAACTGATGTATATAGGTGGAGATTCAAAGCAAAAATCCTTCCAAAGAACAATAGAACGTTAAACGGACGGTCGGGAGCATCAGTAACTTCTAATTATCGCCTGTGTTAATGTGTTTTCTATAAGTTTACACAATTTACTTGTTGCTTATCTGCTTTAACTTTGTAATCATATTATTATATTCAATAGATGTTTATTATTGGTAAGATTATTGTTTTCTTAATCAGAACATGTACATAATTAAGGAATTATTACGATTCTAATAGGACAAAAACAGTATTTTCATCGGTCGACGCGTACGAAAATGCCTTGGGAATGCTTGGTTTTTCCCGTTTTCTCTCAATGAAATATGTACATTACATTTACATATTTGATAAGGTTAAAAAAATAATAGCAGGGTAAATATATGATGTTTTAATAACAATATGTAATATAATTTTCTGCAAGCAACTTAAATATATATATTTTATTACGATAATAATGAAAATAGCTAGAATGTAAACAGTAAGCTTGTGCGCATGTGTCAAACATATTTTGTGCTAATTAGAACACGGATTTGTTTACATAGGGAAATAAGGTCGTCATCTTAGAATGCGCTATAAAATTATTGTATATATTTCCTGAAACCATTTTGTAGTCCCCGATAATAATGTATCGGGTTTAACGTCCATTAGACTGTGACAAAACTTAAAATTCTTTTAATTGTGTTTCTAATTCGTTGATATTTTTCAGAACGAGTATTTGAGTATTGCTTGGTAAATCCAAAGAGTTTCCGATTAGTAATTTTTCATCGAGTTGACATCACTAATAATGCACACTTTATGAAGCGTTCGTTATCTAAAGATTCGTTTATTTCAAAACTTAACATTTGTATCCAATTGCCATAAAATGAATATAACACTTGATTGATGTTGTGCGTCAAAAGCGCTTTCATCGATTTACTTTCATCAGGAGAGTCCAAACCAATAAATTGAAAGCCAAGGATGTACAAGACCAAAACACACGAAGCAAAATATTACCATAAAGGAAAAGAAATTTTATTTTATTGGGAAAATATACCCTAAGTTGGAACAATTTTTTGTTGTTGAGAGAATTCTGTAAATGAGATGCGAAAGAAACAAAAGGGAAACTAAAACTCATAAGTAAAAAAAAACAAATAAAATAACAATGACATGGCAAAAAACGATCAAATGTAGAACAACAATGTACAAAACACAACATAGAAAACCAAAAACTGAGCAACACGAACCCAACTTAAAAAAACGGAGATTATTTCAGGTGCTCCGGAAGGGTAATCAGACCTTATTCCACATACGATATCCGTCGTGTAAAATTAAGTAACGAGATCCGGGTCATGACATCTATTTCCAATTGTTTTTGATAGAACTTCTTTAGGTTAATGGTGAAACATTATAGTAGACTTTTTGTGTAATTTCCCTGACATTTTTCAGTTATATATACCAATAGTTAAAATAAATCTTCAAAAATCGTTAAGATAAATATAGTTACTTAATATTTCGAGTTTGATTTACCGTTACAGATCTCTTGTATTCATATAGTCGAATAGATCTTCAACGATAAATACGAGTAGGTTAATATTTCCGTATAAAATGTTATTGGTAGCAAAGTACTATACATATCACTAAATATAGAATGTATAGTAATAATCTCCCTTGTTTTCTATTAAATACTTACATCTGGCCATAAAAATTTATACCAATAATGTTACTACATGTGCATCCAAAAGTGGCAAAATAATCATGCAGTTTATTGATGATGGCCGGGTAATGGCAGAAGTACTACAACATTTTCTCAACAAAAACAACAAAAAACCAACAATAATCATGCATTTAAAATTGAGAATGGAAATGGGGAATGTGTCAAAGAGACAACAACCCGACCATAGAACAGACAACAGCAGAAGGTCACCAACAGGTCTTCAATGCAGCGGGAAATTCCCGCACCCGGAGGCGTCCTTCAGCTGGCCCCTAAACAAATATATATACTAGTTCAGTGATAATGAACGCCATACTAAACTCCAAATTGTACACAAGAAACTAAAATTAAAAATAATACAAGACTAACAAAGGCTAGAGTCTCCTGACTTGGGACAGGCGCAAAAATGCGGCGGGGTTTGTATACAATCAAAATCCTGGTAATAAATTGTTCAAATAAGGCCTTTGAATATAGTGGAACTAATTACTTTTGGAGTGTCAAAAACTCGTTGGAAGTACTTGATAAATTGCATGCTCATATTGGTTATTTAGAAT